CTGTCTCTTTCCTTCCACCTCTTTTATTCTTTCATTCCACTTCTCTCTCATACACAAATAAATATAATTAGCAAACAAATAAATATTATTGGACAAATAAATATTATCAATATCTGTTTTTACCCCCTTTTGTTTTTATTTTTGGAAGTCTCATTTAATGTTAATAAAAACAAATTTTGCATATTTTTCAATAAAAACATGTGGGTAGTATTTGTTCATGTCTTGCGGCTCTCAAACATCTGACGTTTACTCTACGTGGCTCTCACGTTAAGCCAGTTTGGCCAGCTTTCTTGCCCTGTGGAAGGGAACTCAAAAGGCATTTAGATGCTCTCTGAGCTGTCCTTTCCCAGCTCCCATGACCCCCCCCCCAAATTCCACAGCAGGAGGGAGAGGGGAGCCTAAGGGAAGGCCATCTCGTAGACATATGTAAGCACCAGCATACAGACTTGTGTTCATTATACAAAGAAGCCAAAGACTCAGAGGAGGCAACAGGGCAGCCAACACCACCTCAGAAGGAGGCAGATGAGACATCTCCAGGACCCTCTCTTGATGTGCTGGAGGAGCCCCAAGACTCTGAGTCAGCCTGCTGTCAGGATCGACAGCAAAACAACGAAGTACACGCTTCCAGGAAGGTTTTACTTTTATTGAAAAGCTATAGATGCAGTAACATGAACACTGTTAGGAATGGTGGGTTACCTATGCGCATAATAGGATATAGGGCATTCGTATGCACCCCCCCACGTAGTACCCAATTAGATGGGTTCCCATGCGCGGGCATTTGGCAAAGAACTAACGGCTGCAGAAGCTGGGAAGGTAAGCAGCTTCCCATGGATTCTAGACACACCAACTCCTCCAGTGCGTTACAGCTAAGATGCAATTAAGTGCATGGGAAGGAATGCACAGCAATTAGAAACATACATCACACTCATGGCAGCATAGCTGACACCTGCTCACTCTGGGAAACAGCCCTGCCTTCTGATTCAGACTTGGACCATGAACCATCCACCCCAGAGCCTGCTGCTAAACCAGAGGTCTTTCCCCAATTGACCCCAAAGCCTTGCACTACCTCAGCCCCATTGCAGCACTTGTCGACGTACCTGGGTGCAGCACATTTAAATCCTGGTAGCCTGTTCCCGGATGGGAGGAACCTGCATCTCCCCCTCCTTGCAGTAGTCATGAAGCCCTCGTTTCACCCACAGCCTTCATGACAACAACCATCCATATTACAGCACGTTGACTCCTATACCTCAGCTAGGGTGGCCATTCCCCCGGTAGGGCCAGGGGATCCCCCTGATTTTGGGGGGCCCAATCTGCCATGGCCCAGCTGGCCACCCCTCCCCCCAAACCATAGAGTTTTGCCCAAAACCTAGAGCATCACCCCCAACATCGGAAATGTGATGACATCACTTCCAGAATTCAAGGAAGGATCAGGAATCCCCTCGCCAGCAGCCAGGAAGGACCTGGCAACCCGAACCTCAGCCTTGAGCAGGACAATCAGAACACCAAATGGATCAGGTTTCTGCAATCCACTTTTTAAAAAGAATTATGCAAGATGGCTACAAGAGCATTAGGCTGCTTAGAGAAAGTGAGGATTTTCAGCAGAGCTGCAAATCAAGTATGTTAATTTTATCCATGCTAGAATTTCAGAAACTAACACTTCAAACAGCATTAGCATCCAACACTGTACTCAAAAGGGGGAGAAATACATAATAAATGTTGCAGTTGCCCATCATGACAGACATGTTTATGCTCACACACAGATGTTATCAACTCTTTTACAGGAAAAAAATTTTTAAGAACCCGGGGGAAAAAGGGGGAAACCCACAAGGAAATAAGAAGAAAATGAGAGGCTGGACCCAGAGCAGGCTTTTTCCACCGCTGTGTTTGCATCAGAAAGCCTTGTCCATGAATCGAGACATGACAACTTTCTAATCTCGCCTGCCAAGACCAGAGGCTCACTGCTGCAGTAGGCAGCCGGTTCACACCTGCCAGTGCTTTGGAAAAAGCCATAAAGCATCTTAGACAGTTTGCAGAATTCCAAACAGGTGCAAGCTTGGAAAAGCTGGTCGGTCATTGGCATCCGTACAGTTCCACTCTCTCAACCACCTTTTGCATACCTGACTCATAAAAAGAGTGGCACAGAGCCCCAGGGAAGGTGCACACAGAAATCCATAAATGTTATCTTAGATCAAGAGCTGGCAATTAAATTTAGGGTGCCACTGGCCCCTCTCCTGAGCAGGCAGAGAATCTAGTGGAAGGAACAGTTGGCTGCTCTCTCTGCTGGTTTTTGAGGAAGGGAGAAACAGCAAGATACTCAGACTTCTTCCAAGTGCAGATTAAAATGTGATAAGACTCAACCCTTCCCTCAGTGATGAGACACTGATGGGGCATAAGCAAGGAAGCAAATTCTCCAGTGTGCAAGGCCTGAGCGATTTAGTGGTCAGCAGGGCCAAGTAAAAGGAGCTGCGGTGGCTCAAGTGGTTAAGACGCTGACCTGCAAGCTGTGGAAGGTCAGTAGTTCAGCAGTTCGAGACCCGAGTTGCTGCATGATGGAGTGAGCTCCCGTCTCTAGTTCCAGCTCCTGCCAACCTAGCAGTTCGAAAACAAGAAATTGCAAGTAGATAAATAGGTACCACTTCGGTGGGAAGGTAACAGCGTTCCGTCCGCCTTGGTGTTTAGTCATGCCGGCCACATGACCACGGAAACGTCTTCGGACAGCGCTGGCTCTTCGCCTTTGAAACGGAGATGAGCACCGCAACCCTAGAGTTGGACTCGACTGGCTTTTGAGCAAGGGAACCTTTATCTTTTAGGGCCAAGTAACACTGACAGAATTAGAACCAATTCTTATGACACCAGGCCAGAGTCCTTCCCACTGAACAACAGGCACTGAGTTAACTGGTCTCTCTGTATACCCTCGGGACGGTATAGCCATCAACATTTTATTCTCTCCTCTGGGGTCCCCTTCTGGAGGTGGAGTTTTTTTGTTTTTGTTTTACTTTCCTGGATATCGTTTTCCAAAAAGCAAGTCATCATCATTCAGCCTACAGTCTACCCTGTCTGAACTTTGTATTAATCCTCCCTATAGTGCTTTGCAATCTGATAGCTAGGCTGGTAAGCCTCTGTTAGCGTTTGATAGCACTTGTGAAAATTGGTTTTCCTAGGCAGCTGTAGCAACCATTCTGCGGGAACCAGTCCAGCAGCAACTGCTCGAAAAACAAAAATGTGAGAGTACCAGAGGAAAGTAGAGTGGGAGGAAGAAAACAGGGGGCCAGGCAACCTGTTTGTCATTGAAGATTATACAAGAAATATACCACAAGTCCCCAAAACACAGCTAGCTAAGCTTATGTTAGTTATTCTTCAAGAGGAAATGGAATAACTAACTCTATGTTAGTTATTCTTCAAGAGGAAATGGAATCCACATCAGGAAAAGTGAAGGGTTTTTTTTTAAGAGAAGATGATTCATCACGAGAATCAGAAACCTGTCTGACGGTTCTGCAGTCCAAATGATTCACCCCCACCCAGGCCACATCATATGCTGCTCCTCTCTGGCTCATGTGATCCCAGGGCAGTCCCTACCTCCTACTGCTGGCCAAGCCCTGTGAGGGCAGCCTTTTGTTAAGCTCGTCCTCAAGCCTTTGTACCCAAATGATGATTTCTACATTTGCTGAACACAGCACAGGACACTGACATGACCACTTACTTTTAGGTTCTGAGCTGAGCTCAGAGTCTGTAACTACTATCAGTTGTGTACTTTTCATAAGCATGACATATCCCAGACTCAAGATGAAATGTTGCGATTGGTGTGGAGCTCTTATTTGACATGGGTATTGATTTAAATAGCAGTTACAATAATACAGCTGGAGAGTTGTCTTGCTACGTCCATGGCAACAGTAGTCCCCATATGTCTATGAGATTAATAGCATCAGAAGCAGGCAGCATGCAATTTCAAAAGCTCTATGCTTGTTGCTGTCACATACAGCAAAGTCTCTTCTATCTAGTCTCTTTATTTCATACATGTGACTTTTGGCTCCTACTCTTTATTCCTGTATGAATTAGGATTCCTAAACATGGCAGGTGAGCATAACAATGTCTAGGAGACAGCAAAAATTTTAAGGCAACATCTTGACACTGGCCTGGATTTTTTTTATTTTAAATGCCTAAATGCCAGCATTACATTTGTAGGATTCTTGAGCAACCAGACACACAGGGTATTTCCTACCTGCTCCCATTAGTTCAGACAAACTTTGTGCCTGTCTGAGTTGTCTGGATACAGAGGCCTTAAGACAAATTCTGGACTACAAGGTAAACTTAGTTAATGCACACAAGACCCTCCCCATAAGCATTTTTGCAAGTGAAAAAGAAAGCTGACAAGAATTCTCTTTTTGCGATGTGCTTGAAAAAATAAATGGAGGAGCTTTTACAGAACAAGAAGCTGGCCTCCTAGGAGAGGTTAGGACTGGGAGAGGGGTCACGGCTTTTGCATGCAAAAGGTCCCAAGTTCAATCCCCAGCATCTCCAGTTAAAAGGATCAAGTAGGAGGTGATGTGACAACTGCTGCCAGTCTGAGTAGGCAATACTGACCTTGACAGGCCAAAGACTTTACCAGCCAAGAGTTACATTTCACGCTGCTAAGTACTTCTAAACATTGTGGAAGGAGAACTGTTTTTCAGTGGCATTCCCATGGCAAGCAAAATGCACGCCGTAGCTTTTTTGTGGAAAACCTATGGCAGAAAAAATCCTGACAAAGCATGACTACATTTAAAAAATGGAAATGAGGGGGAAAATAGGATTATAGTGAGACTGACATGTCATCCATAACTACAGGTGTTGCTACTGCTATTTGGTAAACACTGAATACTCAGCATCAACACTGCATGTTAAGGCTAGCTCATGTGCCTCTCTAATTGTAATAAACACAACAGCAGATCCATATATTAAACCCATGGCACGGGAAGTGTCATTCACACAGCAATGTTAAAACATGAACGTGTTGCACTTACACGGATATCTGAGGGTCTCTGCTCTGCAGGAGAAAGCTCTTCTGAGCAGTTCTGAAGTTTATACATCCAGTAATGCTTCGCAGTCATGATGAAGTTCAAAGGCAAAAGTGAGCCCGTCCCCAGAAGGAAGAAAATAATATAGGTGCCATTAAGGTGGTCCTTAGGCGTGTACGAAGTGGGTCTGTTCTGCACTGGCTCCTCAAGGAGTGGGTCCTCTTCTTGGACCATGGCGTCTGCTGGCTTGTACAAGGAATTAACACTCTCGAGGTAGTCATTTTCGTCCTCCTCCAAATCGACAGCCACTTTGGGGAGAAATTCAAAACACCTATGTGAAACCTACATATTACAGAATGTGCCATTCTCAGAATACATTCTTACAAATCCTTTTCTACTGAAGAATTCTGGAAACGACATCATAATCACTGCAGAGACTGGAGTCTCAAGGCATCTTGAGGGTTTTATGCCAGCGTAAGATTTTTGTGGGCTGATCCACAAAATTTTACCCTGGAACAAAACCTTGTTAAGTCTTTAAGGTGCCTCAAGACTCCTGTTTATTTTTGCTGCAACTGACTGACTCGGCTATCATTCTGGAATTGTTGTAAGGACTGGGACTCTGCCGTGGAATTTTGCATCTGAAAGGAGAATGAGTTAGCTGTGAGCCAGATATTTTTTTCCATTTAAATCTCACTTCGATTGCTGGAGGCCTTATACCTCCCTTTAGCACTCCTTCCTCCATCTGCACTAGGGGAATAACACCACTGTCATCCCTTATAGAACACTGTAAAGATGATCAGTTGAAATATGCTATACTTACTATCTTATATATGTGCTATTATTATTATATTACTATTAAAAGGGTAACCCAGCAGTTAGTCATTTGAAGCTGAAGCAACAGTTCCAAGAACTCCATGGAAGCTAGTATTAAAGAACAGAGTCCTATAATGAAAGTAATTTCTATGAAAACTAGTATTAAAGAACAGAGAGTCCTATAATCCAAGTAATTTCTTCAGTCTTCTGCAACGGAAAAGTTAACTAGAAGGTCCTCAGAAACACTGTGTACATTTTCAGAAGGGTCTGCAAAAATGTTCTTATTAAACATTAAATATTAAAAAATATTCCAAGAATGTATAACATGGTTTTATTGGAAGAATTTGTGATTGCTGACCTTTTTAACCAAAGAATGCAGGTGGGGGGGAGGAAGTCTTGATCTATAGATAAAAGATTGCAAGGAAATACAGGATAGATAACTACATCCCATACCAGCGACCTCCGAATTAAAAAGCTGACACATTAATGCAATCATGTTTTTAAACTGCCAGTAGGTGTCATCCATTCTTCCAAATTCCAGCACCCACAACAGCAGCAGATTATTGACTAGGAGAAGAAAGATTCCCTGTATCCTCTGTGCAGCCCAAGCCAAGTTTGCCTGTGGTTTCTTTTGTGTGGGTTGAGGGGCACATCTCTGTCAATCCACAGTGACAATATAAGAGCTTTTATGGGGCTAACCAATAGCTCAGAAAGATGTGTGAGCTTCTCAAAGCTGCTCTTCAGGAAAGATTAAAATCGGAAGCACTTCAGACAAAGTGGGCAATGCTTTATGCTGATTGTTTGATTTAAAGGGAAGGCAAGAACGACTCCTTTCCTTAGTCTCGCACAGGTCAGAAGTCCGGACACGTCTCTTATTTTCAAGAGGAATGGGAGTTCACAGAAGGACTCTCCCCCTAAGTACAAACCTAGTTTCAGCTGCAAACACGTCAATTCAGGAGGCAGCTGAACTTTTCTAAGTTAAAGTGGGCAATAAAAAAGGAGACACGAGAAGGCAAGAATTCCCAAGAGGAAGCTTCTCCTACAGACCCAGGGCATAAATATCCTGAAAAGCTTGCCAGAGCCATCTCTCCCCTGTCGTGAATGAGGCAGGAGCGATGCTGAAGTCCTTAAAAGAGAGAAGCGCCGGCCCTGGCCTCGAATACCCCCAGAGCCCACGGGGCTGGCAGCGGTTGCTCTGGGACACAGATATGCACTCTGCTCATGCTCTGGGGCTCCCTCTGAGGGCGAACTCTGGCTTCGGCGACACGACAGGCGTCGAGAGTGGCGGGACCGGAGAAAGAGAGAGGGGGGAAGGAAGGCGGGACCCAGAGAGCGAAGCCAAACAAAGGAGCGAGTCGGGTTCCCACGCCAGTCAATGGCGGGCGGCTCGCCGGCAGGAAGCGCGAAGGGAGCCCTGCCTGAGCCCGAAGAAGGCACTTACTGTCGCCGGCCCCGCTCGCCTCCCCATCCACTCAGAGCCCCGGCTCGCTCACTACCGACCCGGGCCTTCGTGGCCTCTCCCGCCCCGGCCCTCCTGAGGCCGCGCCCACCGCTCGCCCCGCCCCGAGAGCGCAGCGCCGCCCTCCGAGCCCGCTCGGGCCCTCGTTCGGGTTGTGACGCGCCGGCTCCACTCCAGAGGAGGCCACGGACGCCGGCTTTCCCCCCCCCCTCCCTGCATGTGAGCCGCTCTAATCTCCCCGGTGGTCTCCGGGCCTGCGCTTTGGAACAGGCTTCCTTCAAATCTCCTCCGCTCGCGCGTGGGATTCCAGGAGCCGCCGCGCTGGCACGTCAGTCGGTGGCTGTGCAAGCCTAGCCCGTCTCTTCACCGATCATCACAATCATTAAAAGCCACCAGCAGCACCTTCTCTTGGGGCTTCTCTGTCCAATTCTGGGGTACATGGCATGTCCTTTCACACAACCACCTCCTACCTTCTTCTAGTGCAAGCGGTGTATTGCCGCCTCTCGGAGTTCCTTGCTGTTTTAATGCAGTGCAGGATGTTAATCATTTCTAGGCATAGCCAAGCGTGTAGCCTTGCCTTCTCAAAAGGGTACCAAGTGTGTTTAATGGAAGTTACAGGAGGCTGTTGTGGGAACCCTGGCCTAGATGAGATTTCCGCTTAGGAAACCACACGCCACACATACAGGAGAGTGAAGGGGGCTGCCAACCTCCAGGTGGTGCCTGGTGATCTTCCAGAATTCTAACTGATCTCTGGTCTACAGAGATCCATTCTGTGGAGAAAAGAGTTGCTTTGGAGAGTGGACTCTCTGTGGTTATACTCCACTTAGATCCCTCCTTCCCCAGGATCAGCCCCCAAATCTCCAGGAATGTCCCCACCCAGAGCTGACAACTGTAGGCAGAGAGAAGGAGTGGTAGAATGCAGCCCATGCCTTCAAACAGCAGCAGGAGGATCCTTGAGGATCACATTTTTAAAATTTCTGCTGTGGTTAAAACTGTCTGCAAACAGAAAACCATAACAGCAAGAAAAGCATGGGGATTAAATTTTCTTTCTTTCTGTGCAAGTTTTCTATTCTCCGAGAGGGTTTTATGAGAAAACGTACTCAAAGCTAGAATGTATCCCCTAGTCTGAAGTGGTGCACTCCTTTCTACCACTAACATTTTGTTACCTTTTTCTCCTACATGGGTCAACCAGGCAAAAAACCCGGGTATGCAAACTGAGGCAACCATTGACTGGGACAGACTTTTCCAAACTGAGGAGCCTGAGGGCATTTCTGGAATTTTGAGGAAAGGGTAGGGGGTGCCACCATAAAACAGCTGCCTTGGGAGGCAGGACAAATCACAAAATGGCCACCATAGGAGGGGTAATCACAACATGCTTGGAAGTTCCAAGGCAAGCATCCTTGATGATGTGGGAAGCGATTTCCAAATGGCCGCTCTCTCCTTGCAGCCCCCAAGGGATGCCTCCTGGCCCCCAAGGGATACATCAATCACAGACCAAAACATAACACATAACATCTAACATGTAACATACAACATATACCGATCCTTCATCTTCCCTCATTTGGCCTAAATCTTTGATCTTATAGTTTCGCAAATTTTTACATGTTTTATTATAAATTTGCCTTAGTTTCCAGCCATTTATATAATTTGCCCACACTTTTTAAAATACTGAATTCATATTTCCATGCAGTTTTTGAGTTAAATTATCCATTTCAACCACCTCTATTGCTTTATTAATAAAATCCCATCTACGCGGTACCTTTTCGCTTTTCCAAAATTTTGCGAGCACTATTCTTGCTGATGTTAATGAATGTGATACTATGTAGATGTCATCTTTTTTTCCAATTTTCAGGAAATATATTCATTAAAATATTTCAGGATCTAACGGGATTTGCATATTAGTTATTTGTACCAATATAAACTGTACCTCCTTCCAATGTTGTTTAACTTCATTGCAGGTCCACCAGACATGGTAATATGAACCCACTTGAGATTTGCAGTTCCAACATTTGTTATTAATCCCTGGATAAAAACGGGCCAATCTTTCGGGTGCCATGTGGACCATGTGGACCATTTTAAAAACATTTTCTTTTAGCAGCACAGCTTTCAACCATCTTACATTCTTCCATATCCTCTCCCATTTATTTAATTCAATATCATGCCCAATATTTCTGGCCCAAGTTGCCATTGATACTTTGGCAACCTCATCCTGCATCTTATGGTCTCTTGAAGCAACTCCTGCTCCAATGAGTGGTGGAAGAAAATCAGGACTGGCCTTGTGCTTTAGGAGAGAAGCAGGTGGGCACCAAGAAATACATCAGTGGGCCAGGCAAAAAGTCACCCAGGGACACATTGATCGCAATCACTGGACTCAGAAATCAGCATTGCCCTTTATTGGCCCTAATGGCTTTTCCCTGGCGGTCTGTGACTACGTCCACAATGTGATAAAATCCTCTCTCTCTCTCTCTCTCTCTCTCTCACGCACACGCACACGCACACACACACACACATGTCATTTTTACCGTTAGATATTATGGACAGTTTGTGGCCATTAAAAGGGGAGGGGCTCTGCCTCATGTATATCATAATCTCACTTTCTGCGGCTTGCAATGGAAGTGTTCTGCAATCATTCAGTGCTGAAGGAATAATCCTGTGGAACTCTAGAGGCAAAGGTCCTGTGGCAGAAAAGTATATAGAGAAAATGGCATAGGGATGGGACATGGAAGAATTTCCTCTACTGAAGAAACTTTTCCCCCTTCAGCTGCACCTCTTGCTAGCATCACCCCTTTACCAGGTAGCAGCTGAACTTGCAGTGTTTGGAATAACACCTATAACTGTACTTAGTAAATCCATCATACTGAAGTATTTGCTTATGCATCAGGACTTGCCTGCTTCAAATTAATTCGTTTTCATTCTTCACCTCCTTGAAGGCACTACAAAGCTGAATTTATTTGCAAATTACTGATCTGATTTAACGTTCATATTTAAACGCAGTCACTTTTAAGGCAATGCAAGATTGTCAAAGAAAAAGAAACCTTGAAAACAAAACAAAACACCTTCACCTCTCTGGCCTAATTCTGGTGAAGTCTGGTAAGCCTGTCTAGGCTATACCTCATCTCCAGATGAGGACTCGCATCATCAAAATCTCCTCCAAATAAAATATTTATTAATTAAAGTATTTTCTGTTGCTTTTCTACCCAGGGAGCCCATGACCATAATGTTAAAATATCACAATCCATTCCATAATACAGTTTTTAAAAGTCTGTCCTTCTGAGATCTATGAGATGAAGGACCAAACTACGGCCCTGTTCATACGAGGCGTTTTGGGCCGGGAGGGGGACGGAACGGGGGTGGAGCAAACGGGCGCGATCCCACGGCAACATCTGGGAATCGTTGCCTGCCCGTCCCTGTTCCGTCCCAAACGCCGATACCACGCAGCAAAAAAACCCCACCTACCTAGGTGGTTGTATCCCTTGGAGCGCCTCAAGCCGGGCCGTGGGATTGGCTGGTGCGTCCTTGCACCGCCGCATCTCAGCCCCCAGCCGTAGGCGTCTCAAGTTTGGTGTGGCTCTGATTAGCCGCGTTTCAGCCGTCCCGTGTGGCAGGGACCTACATTATACTTTTTTATACATTGGGTCTGCTCCAAAGTTACTCAAATAACCCCCTACTGGGGTCATTTCTGTTCAAAAGAAGGAGAGTTGTTTTTTATACCCCTGGGCCTGACCTGTCAAAAAAAGGTTTTGTGCAATTTGGCCCTTACTGACAGGGTTCCGCCAGACAGAAATTAATCCTAAGCAGAGATAGATGTCTCTAAACCCATTGGTTTCAATAGGTTTAAGAACACCTAACACTGCTTTGTGTGATGCTTTATCCTGGCATGGAGAAAATTCCTCCTGGATAATTTCCTTGAGGCAGTCTGCTGTTAAAGTGGGCATCCCAGCAATGTCACCAAATTGTCTACTGCAAGAGAATATATCTGAATGAAAGTGTGGACTGGCAGATTCGAAAACTGTCTGCATTTTACTATCACCCAAACGTATCTATAAAAAAAGTTATTGTTGACTGAATTAATTTATACCCTCCACTCCCAACCTGCACAGATTTACAAGATGGTTTCTGTCATTACAGTAGCTAAGTCAGAAGAGTAAATATACAATAACATATCAGATCAAAACATGCGTAACATTAGATCGCTAGCTAGCCCGCTATCTACAGCAGTGGTAAAACAGTGTGAGTAAATATTTTGGGGAAGAGAGTAACTTTTCCTTTGTAGCAGAGCATATGTTTACCTCTTTGGAGCCATTTAGGCGTTTTGGGCCAGGAGGGGGATGGAACGGGGGCGGAGTTTCCCAACCTGGACCTGGAAACGCTACACACACACACACGCCCCTCTCCCCCTGCTGCTGGCCAGGGAGGACCTGGCAACCTTAATTGTTGCTAAGGTCATCTCCTCCTATGAGTAGTCCCCCTAGGAGACGCCAGCATTTATGCCATTTAGAGAGGAGAAGAGGAGTTGCAGAGCTGTAGAGGTTTTCACAGCTCCAACACTGTCCCTTCCCCAGGGACCTCAAGCCCCTCCTCACCTGACTAATGTCAGATATCTCACAATCCTCATCTCTCACTTTCCCTTTTCTACCGAGGCCTCTTTACCAAGCAGGAAATAGTGTCTAATGTAGCGGGAGGAGGGGAGAGACATTATCTGCTTTTGACAAATGATACCTAATGAATTAAGGCTGATAGATTTATTAGATCAAATAGCCAAATTCAATTTGCATAATGGGTGGTATTTGCATATCTTATTCTCTTCACAGTAAACTGGATTCATGAGACTGTGGGTTTTCTCGGCAGTAAACTGAAGTCCTTGCGCCATCAGGAAGGAGACAGTCTCTCTTGCACGTCAGGTTGAAGCTGTTTAGAACTTCACGGGACAAAACAGAGACCTTGACTTGCACTGGGAAGGTGAAAGGCAGCCAGTGCTGACGCTGTTGTTGCAGGCGCCCAGAAGCTGACTGTCCTTATGAGGAGGCAGACGGCTGTGTGAACCTTCTGAATGGTCTCC